TCTATACAGTAAGATCATTTAATGTTGTAGTGTTATTTATATTATCAATTATTTCAGCTGGAAGCAAAATAAATAAGATAAAATAAAACACTACAGACTAAAATACAAGAAGTATGAAGTCTTTTTTTTTCTTTTTTAAATATTTCCATATTCTACACTTTGACAGTCTGAGAAATCAAAACAGCTTGGATTAAGCATCAGTTTTTGGAGGAGGACAAAATGGATTAAAAAATACACCTGCACTCTTTGGGAGGAGAAACAGAGCCCCCCATCCCCCCATCCCCCCGTTGTTTCAGAACAGCTCCTCTGACTTCCCACAGTACAGGGGCCCGGAGGCAGGGCTGTGCAGAGAGTGGAAGCCTCCAAAAAATGGCTGGCGCAGCAGGGGGGGGTGGGGGAGGAATTGTGGAACTTGTAGGATACATTAAATCAGCCTGATTAGGAGTTTAGGCAAGGGCAAGGCTCAGTTCTGTCTGAAAGGCTACCCTTGACTGATACTATTCACAGCATGGAAGAAAGGTCAGTGTCAGAGGAGTTCACAGGCCCCATCTCCTTTCTTATGCTAAAGGATCATATAGTCAGACTCACTGAGTGGCTGCAAAGGCATAAACAGCGTCAACTTTCCCTCCAAAATGTTTCGATTGCTCAGCTTGAGCTGCGAGGTCCTACCTTTCTTTGATTCTATTTCTTCTGAGATGGAAACTTGATGTGAAATTATTGATCTGAAGGTCCTCCAGCAATGTTTGTTTGTTTACATCTATAAAATCCTATCAAAGTTGAATGTTAAAAAGCGAAGAGACAAATTCTTTATAAATCACACAATTAATATATTGAAACTGGGGTTTTGTTGAACTTCCTCAGACAGTGCACAGCGCCTGCAAGCTGCAAGTGCTGCTGTTTTCCCACTTGTATTGTCTGTTGTTCAGTCAATATTTTTTCTAGTAAGAGGGTTTTGTTAACCTCCATTATATATACTTCTTTGTGCATTTTCCTGTCCGTCTCTAGGTCACCGGGGAACAGCAGGAAATAGCCACTTAATCAGCTGCCCTTGACCTTTGGCTTTGGCTCAGGCGACTCCTGACCCCAGCATCTCTCTGGCCTGTTTATTGTTCTCTGGGGGACTGTCCAGATCATGACACCTGATCCCTATACTGACCTGCAGGGACTTCACCAACAGGTCCCTGACCAGCTGCCCCGCCTCCAGACACTCATCAAAAAGCAATACTTAACTGAGGTGACTTTTCAAGCTATAAATTCTGCTGAAGAACGACAAAATACTGAAGCTGTCGTGATTATTTCTGGACCTTTCTAACATTTGTTTGCAGAAAGAAACAGAGTGCTTTCAGAGCATTTAGGGCAAATCCAACAGAATATGAAACCGTTTTAATGATAAAAATCCCACCAGCGTAACAGTTTTTACAAAATAATTTGAACACTTGGTCGTTCGTTCCACCCAGGCTTTACAGAGGCTGATTCCACTAATTGGTTTCCATCCATCCAGAGAGGGGAACTAATAAGAGAAATCAGCCGCTGTCTGGATGAAAGCCTGCTGACTCCTGACTGGGCCTCCATGTGTGAGAAGTACGACTTTAGATAGGTGTGCAACTTCTTTGTCTCCTCCCTTTTTTGTGAACTTTGTCCCTTCCCTATCCATGTTTGGCAGGAGTGTTCACCAGCCTGCCTTCATTTTTTGTTCTGTTAATGCTCTAATAGCAGATGAGTATATGTCTGTCCATCTTCCTGCATGGGATCAATAATGTTGATCTGTTTTAATCTTAAATTCTCTCTCAGGACTGTAGTTTGAAATCTACACAAGTGAAAAAAAATGCTCTAAATTTTAAGACAGCATTTTGTTTTCATCACTGAATTCAAATGAAAGTAAATGGTGTCATATCATATTAACACACTTATGTACTTTAATGTGATAAAGCATGCCGTTGTTACTGTTATTGACAGTGACATTTTTACTGTTTTATTTTAGCAGTCAATATCATATAACCCCATTAGTAACATTGTTTTATTGTTTAAAGAATAGTTCCTCTAAAATGTTATACATAAACAATTTAACTGAAGCTTCAGTTAAAAACACAACTCACATCTCACAATGTGTCTACACCCAGTAAAACATTTTTTCAGATTTAAAAGGAGGAAATGACAAGATTATGGACTCCTTTGTTACTAATGGACATAAATGTGTTTTTTGTTCAGTTGTTTTTGTTTTCCCCTAGTCATTTCCAAGCGTTTCACTTTGCTTTCATACAAAGAGATGGAAATAATCCCCTGTTGACCCTGCACGTGTCCTTCTGTTGTTTGAGTCCGGACACAGATCAGCCAACCATCAGAGCCGTCTGTAATCCTAAAACCTGATTAATTGTCAACACTGGGCCCTGGTATGGAGAAATGCATTTAGAGTCAAAGTAAACACTGATATAAGTCACATTTTTAATTCAGATATTATAACAGGCTCTTTTTTATTAGGCCTACTGTTTTGTTGCAAAACCTGATTATTATTATTGCATGTTATAAATGAAATATGACGGCAATAAACAAAACCTTATTATGGAATATTTTTAATAGTTGGGCAGGGTCATTTTGTCCACAGAGCTTTGTGACTTTTTCTTCCAACACTGATTCAACACACATCCCTCTGTCTGCTCCTCCTTCCTCACACAGACCTCTCTCTCTCTGTCTCTCTCTCTCTCTCACACACACACACACACTCACACACGGGGGGGCGACTCCTACAGTCTCACACTTTAATTTCATTTTTCAAGATTAAAGACAAAATGCTGCAGAAAATATAAAACACCATCCTTTAATGTCAGCGGAGCAATGGCCTAATCCATTCTCACAATTTAAACCTTTTCTGTCTAATCAACAAAATAAAATACCCTAGGCTGTTGCTCAAATGAAAACAAGATTGCAAGGCGGCGATTATCATTGCCATATTTTTTATTTTAAAGAAGTGTCAGTGACACAAGTAAACCTAAAACAACATAATTTAATGCATTTATACCATTCACACTTCAGTTCAAGCACATAAGAAAAACAAATCATTAAGTAATTAAAATGCATTAGGTATGCAAAAAGCATTAAGAGAGAACTCATTGGAAATGCATAGCTTTCTTATTAGCTTTTATAAATAGAACTGTATGAAAATATCTAATGAAACACACTTTGTCATTAATACAGTGTCTTACAAAAAACTTCCAACTTTTGTT